TGAAAACAATTCAACCTTCCATGCATAAGACAGGTACTTCTAATGGAAACGATAGGTCTTTTTTTTAACAGGTAGAGTATCCTTTTTACCGGAGCAGTGAAAAGTGTCTTTAGATGAATTAAATTTGAAATGTGTTAAGATAAGTGCAGAGAAGTGATAAATCCTGTGCTTTAATACTTCTAGAAAGGACAGTGGGTATTAATTATACAGATCTACAATTCATCTAAGGCTTTTCATGGTCTTATTTAGCATTCATACTGCAGGGTAATAAACAGAGAAGTGTAACAAAAGAAAGAGTAACGAGACAATATACCCACTATTCGACGACTGGGAGTGAGGTGAAGCAGTCAAATAGAAACAGTTACTAAAAAAGAACTTCATAAAAGTGTGTGTGTATGTATACATGTGTATATGTGTTTTTTTTTAAAGAACACAGACTGGGACATAAAGGATAGTTTAGCCTGAATACCAGTGAAATCAGTGTAGCTGCTCCACTGAGCTTAACACACCTTGATCTATTCTTTAGAGTACCTGGGTCAGCGTCATCTTCATAGACAGTGAAGTTTTAGATTATTTTAAAGTCTGTACAATGCTGCTTTTCTTTCCCAAAAGATCCTGTAGAGGGACTGATACTTGTTAATACAGAAAAGTTACGCTAGTTTACATTACCCAGAATTTGACTGCAAACAGCATAGGTGTGAAGATTCCTTTGTAAAAGAAAAAAAACAAAACAAATAAATAAAAGAACAAAAACAAACACAGGAGAAACTTCAAACACAGCACTTGTTACTTTTTTATTTGTTTGTTTGTTTGGTTTTTAGCATGCAGTTATGTATGACTAAGAGATCTGGAAACACTGGCATTGACTTTATGGAGTAAAACATAAAGTCTTTTCTGAGTTATACAAGTCATATTAGCAAAAGAATTATCAGCTATTTCTATAAGTAGAAGTACAGGATTGACTTCATCACAGTAAGTCCAAACTCAAAGAAGAACTATCAACCTGAAATGAGATTAACTTCATGAAAATCCATAGGAAGTTCTGTCAGAGACATAAAGTAAACGAAGAGGTGAACATCCCTTTCCATAAAGTTTTCTTTGATATAGGGTATAATATTATCTAAGACTCTATTATGTATGTTTACCTTTTTGTGTGTAGAAGTACAGCTGAACCCTGAGAGAAATCTGTATGAAAATCAAAATAACACAGAGCAACATTTATTGTTTGAAATCTATTTTGGCATAAAAAAAATCATTTCTGGTTTAATAATAACTTTTGTATTATTTTTAAAGTTTCAGGTTTTCATGATATTTTGTAGTCTTTTAAAGGCACTCAGTTTACCAGTCTTTATTTTTTACCAGTTCCTACAACCCCAGAGAATCTGGATCTTGTTCTGACTTTCTTGGGTTTTGTTGATTTCTCTTTTTTCTGTTAGACGCACAGAAAAATCCCCATTAAATTTTAATTTACTGCACATTGTGGAAAGCATATGTAACAGAGTTTCCACTTTATTTTCCCAGGGTAGATTAAATTTCACTTATTTCTAGTTTGAAAGCCTTTTCCTACTACAAAAGATGCTAGGCAGCCTGTTCTGCAGTAGTCCTGTATTCACTGCAGTGGCAGATGATAACAAGAATCTCAACATTTAGACTTTTGGTCTTGCTCTTCATGCTCTGTTACTATTAACAGTTGTGCTATTTAGCATCCAGAAGGTAAGAGTGGCAATTTGTAAACAGAGTCATAACCTTCTGTGTTACATAATCCACCCAGCCAGCTAAATCAGATTTGAATTTCTGTTCCTCAAGAGAACACCCTCAATGGCTGATTTTATGAAAAGTGGTTATCAGCTCTACACAAAAGCAGGTAATGGAGAACTTAGCTTTGTCATAGAATCACAGACTGGTTTGGGTTGAAGGGACCTTAAAGATCTAGTTCCAACCCCCTGCCACAGACAGGGACAGCATCCACAGACCAGGCTGCTCAAAGCTGCATCCAGCCTGGCCGTGAACACTGCCAGGGATGGGGCAGCCACAGCTTCTCTGGGTAACTTGTGCCAGCGCCTCACCACCCTCACAGGGAAGAATATCTAGAGCAGTCCAATCTAAATCTCCCCTCTTGACAGCTCAAAGCCATCCCCCGTCGTCCTGTTTCTTGAGTGCAACATAGCAGCATCAGCCTAGGTATGGAGGAATGGGGACAGAACACCCTCTTGGTTTTCAGAAACGTTTTAGCTTGAATTGCAGCTCGCACATAATGCACTATTACAGTAGTAAAGCGCTTTTCAGTCACCTCTTGAACAAAGCACTGTCTTTTTCCTCAAAAGACCTGGTAGTGGTTGAGTTCAGCTAGAACAACAAAGCAACTTGAAGAATGTAAAAAGGACTTCACTGGTGTTAAATGGGAAATGAACTTCATGCATTTTTATAAGTTTGAATACTTGTGTGCCTCACACCTCTCTTTCACATAAAACTGTTATATTGGAAATAATCTTGTTCTTTTCATTAAACCCAGACAGTATGCGCTTGGGGTCTTGTAAACAAGACTTAATCTTATTTTACTTACTGTTGTTCTGGCGAAGATATCACAACCCATTTGAAGTTGTGTACTTCTATGCCTTTATCTCTTGTTATTAGGAAAAAGACCAAATGGTTGTGTGATAATTTTACATCGGTGCAACTTGTTCATATAACACTAGCTCAAAATTGACATGTTCTTATCATAAAGATCTGGTTTATGTAATTTTTTAATAATAGGACTGTTAAAGCTTTGAGCTTTTCAACCTTGCATAACTGCCACTTTTTAAAAAAGCTATATACTTTAGGTTTTTTTTTGTTTTTTTTTTTTTTTTTTAATGTAAGTAGACCTCTCACTCTAGAACCTGAGTAGCTTCTAGAGAAACCTTCCTTCTGGATGAATGAAATCTGAAGTGCAAATATTTGCATCTCGTTTCTTCTAGCTGTCCTTGGCATAAGGATCCTTCTGCACTGCTTGTTTACTCTATGCCCAAAGCAATTGCCACTTCAAGATTTTCAAGGACAAAGACTGATGGAGCTATTCTATGATGAATATGAATAAGGTTACTTGCTTATAAACACAGTTTCTGAAAAACTATCTTTACAGGTAGTCCCTCCTCCTGTCCTTGTTGGATTTTGTTACCTAGTAGTAATCATTCTCAGCTGGAGCTTCTGACAAATGCTGCTCTGGGTTTGGACAACTGCTGACCATTTTGTGAGCAGTCACGACCTTGACAGATGCAAAGCAATTGTTTCAGTGTGAAGACATTTTGTTTCAGTGTGAAGTTCCATATTTGTTGGGAATGACAGTATGTTTGATAATCCTAATAATCCATGCTGCTTCTAAGAATTTTTGTGGGTGCTGAAAGTTCCGTTCTCCAGTAGTAGATAAGAACACACAGAAACTGTTCAGTATTTTGTAGGGTCATACTGACAATTTGCTAGACAATTTTAAGACATCGCATGAGACTAAAATATGTGGAACTGCTGAGAATTCCAGTAACAGGCAGCAGACAATCTGGTTTTATTAATAATAAAGCTGTATACAAAACCTTGTTTCCTCCTCCTTACATCCCCAGCAATTCATTCATTGTGTCTGTCACCAAAGCAGCTACAATCCTTCAACAGCGCAAGAATACATTACATGAAAGCTGATCCTTTAGCTTCACTTAGAAGAATGGACGGAATAAGTCACTAACAGTACAGCTCACTTCTGACTTTGATTGGCTCATGAAAATAACTAGCACAATAGAAACTAATCTGTATGTTACAACAGCTTCTCCAGAAAATCATTCATATCAGAATTAAATGTTTTTTTACAGATATGCAGAGATTTTGTGGGTTTTTTTTTTTTTTTTTTTTTGTTTTCCCCTAAAATGCTTTCCTACTTGTCATGTCAACATCTGCCGTTTGTAACACATGATAACACTGGCATGTTCAACTTCATGATTCCCTTCAGTTCATCTGACACAACTCTTGACTAAAGCATCAGGAAGTGGGCACTGCTGTCACCAGAATACTACACTTGATGGACCAATACCTTTAATTAAGTCTGGCAAATACTATCTTGCCATGAGAACCTATTCCAGAGTTCACAATATTTTGGTACCACATATTGCAAAACGTAATTTCTGCCCACATTAAAGTGACTTTTGAATAAGTTACAGCATTTAAGAAGTTGATGTAACGAGAATTAGCATGTATGGTATCTTTTATAGAATAACATTTTTCTCTTAAACTATTCCCCTATCCTTCTGTAAGAAGAAAACAATACCGATACAATCTGTATCTCTTTCTACTTCTGATTATTTACATTGCTACTCAAAGGACATGTATACTTTCCTTCTTCTTCCATTCTAATGCATCAATGCCTTTCAGAATCGGACTGTATGCACATTTGCTCCCCTCTTCTCATTGCTGTTCTCCTTGCAGTCCTCTCCAAATCTCAGGCACTCTTTTGCATCCATACACATATAGAGTTTATCACACGGTCCTCTTAGCATGATAACGGATTGCAATGACCCACTTTACACCGCTAAGGAAGTGAAAGAAAAATTATGAATAAGAAAAAAAGAGCGTTGTCCTATGCCCACGGAAAACAAACAAGCAATCAAACAGAAGGTTCACTTATTAGCAGTTCACTCTCAGCAGTTACCAGCACACAGGGAAACAACACCGGGACACGCTCCGCCGCATTTAAGTGCAAAGCCGTGGTACTCAGTTCTGACGCGTCAACTAACAGTGCTATTAAGCCAGGTCTCCCACCGCCGAGCGTTCACGTTTGAAGGCTGGGCACCGCTTCTCCGGCGTGACGGACACCCCGCCCCGCCGGTGCCTCAGGCGAAGGCAGGGCCGGGGCCGCCCCTCGCTCTCCCCGCACTCACCAGACCGCGCTCCGCCGTCCGGCCGGGACAGTGCGCTCAGCTGCGGCGCTGGGGTGACCGCTCGGCAGGCGGAGGCCGGAGGGCGGGGAGCCGGGTCTCCCCTCACAGTCCCCTCCCTCGGGACGCGCTCGCTGTCCCGGGCCCAGGTGTAGCGACCCGGGGCTCAGCGCTGCGCGGGCGGGCCGGCCGCGCTGGCGGCAGCCGCTGGTTGGGCGCTCGGAGCCTGTCGCTGGGCGGTGTGTCAGCGGGCTGGCTCCGCCTCGGCCCCGCGCCTCCGCCCGCCCAGGCACAGACATGACACAGACACACAGTCACTGCAGCTGCCGCTGAGCCCGGGGCAGAGCGGCGGCGAGCAGCCCGCTCCCGGCACCCGCGGAACGGCAGCGGTGGCCACCCTGGCCTCGGCTCGCCGGGCACAGCGCCGGCGGCGGGCAGCCTCGGCACCGAGACCCGCAGGGGGCAGCCTGGCACCGGGCGCCGGAGGGAGCCGGCGGGGGAAGGCTGGCAGCGGGGAAGGGGCGGGAGGCAAGGGAGGAAGGAAGGAAGGAAGGGGAAGGGGGCAGCCTGGCACTCAGACTCGGAGGCGGCCGCCGGGCACTGGCACGGAGAGAGCCCGGGCGGAGCGCGGCACCCAGCGGCCGCTGAGGCTGGGCCGGCAGCAGTAACAACGACCGCGGCGGTGCCGGAGGGAGCCTCTCCGTGCTCTGCTCCACGCTGCCAGTGACCTTCCCGGGGCTGCTCGCCGCTCGCCAGGCCGGGGCAGGGCCTCCTCTCCCCGCGGAGAGCGTGCATCAGGCCTCGGGGAGAGGCCGGGAGGCTGGGCCGGAATCCCCCGTCGCCCCCGAGTCCTTCTGGCCGCCGGCGGGGCCTGTGCGCCTCGCGGCTCGCCGCCTGGGAGCGGGTCGGGGGGAGGCGAGCGGGACGGACGGACAGGTCCGGGCTGCACCTCAGGACAGCGCGAAGAAGGGAGCGGGCAGAGAGCGGGGAGGAGAAGGCAGCCACTTCGGCGGCGCATCCCAGGAAGAGTGCGACCCTCCCCGCCACCCTCCTTCTCCCGCCGTCAGCAGCTCGTCCCACGGAGAGTGGAGCCGCTGGTGCCGCCCCGGCTGGGACCCGCCGGCTGACACCTCCGGGACGCCGGGCTGCGGGGACGGAGCTGGAGCTGCTCGCCTGGAGCAAAGGAGGAGGAAGGACTGCTTGCCTGTGGGGAGAGGTGGGCGCTGAGCGCCCGTCCTGGCGGCCCGGGAGCCACACGGGGAAGGTAAGTGCCTCGGTCGGGTCGCTGGTGCTTTTAGAGGCGAGGGGCGGGGGAGGGCGAAGAACAATCGGTGAGTGTCTGCCTTCCAGCAGCCCGGGGGCGGGGGCATCCGAGTCCGGTACAGCTGAGAGGGTGACGGTTTTATCTCCTCGATTTTAATCCGCATCAGATCTGGAGTTGAGGAGATGATCAGGCGGAGGCACGCTTGTCGCTCCCCGGGCACAACGGGGCACACCCCCTGTTCCTCAGCTGAGGGAGGTTTCCCTGCCTGGCTCGCACTGCATTCCACTCGTGAGTCTGACCGGGCGCTGGTTTACACCGCACCCGTGCCTCTTCCCTCCAGCTGGGTGCGTTCCTGTGCCGCGGGGCTCCGGCGCGGGGCTGGCGGGAGGGACGGTGCCTCCGTCCCGCAGAAGAGCCCGGGGCTGCCGAGGCCGATGGCTGCTGCCCTGGGGGGTGGCCGGGTATCAGGCCGTGGGGCGTGAGCGCCTCGCCCAGCGGCGTGTCCGCTCCGGGAGGCAGCTGTCTGAACGGGACCTGCCCGTCGGCCCGGGGCGAAGCCGGAGTTTCGCTGAGACAGTGAAACGGGGAGGGTGGTTTCCCCATCCCCCTCTAGCCTCCACAGCAAGCTTTCAGCCCAGGAGGCTCTCCTTTGGGAAGGCTTCTGCTATCGCCTCCTATCCGAGATGGTGTCATTTAGATCATTAATGCCTGCTCACGGGGGGGGGAAGGAAGGGAAAATAGCAACTTGCGGCCTCTGTGGAGGTGATGCGAAGTTTGACAGTGCCTTATGTAACACTTTGGAGAGGTTCCTAGCTCTTCTGCTGTGCCCAGTTTTGTTTTTAGAAAGCAAGTGATTTCTCGTCTTTGTAGAGCATCAGACAAGTGATCTTTATTTGTGTTTTCACCTGAGTAAAGTGTCTTCTGCTTTGCTCAACTTGCAACAGAGGTACTGTTAGCAAATAAAGCCTACTTATTTTCTGACATACATCTTTTTTTAACAGAAAATTAGCCCGTGGAGGCATCTGAACAGTTGTCATAAGGTCTTTACCTTTTTGTGGATGTATTGTAGTTGCTTTTTATAGCGCTCTTAAAATTACTACAGGAAGCATTTTCACAGCACTGATTGTCATTTATGTATTCTGGAAGATATGATACCAGGATGGAAATGACAGTAAATCAAATGTCTTTCAAACATTGTTAGCTTTTTTAATAGTATTTAAGCTCTGTAATGAACAGAAGCCACCGGGCTAAACAAAGTACTGTGTTAAAATCAGACCTGGCAATTGCCAACAGGTCAGCACATCTCATTTATTGAAATCTTCTGGATACAGATTAATTTTCTTTGTACAATTTTTATTTTTTTTAACTTCCTCAGAAATAGAAACAGCAGGAAATTAGATAAATGGATTGAAAGGTTGCATAGTTTCCCTGCAGTTTCTCTAAGTGGTTATGTCTTCTACTGAAAAAAAAGAAAAGAAGCTAGCTTCACACAAAAAGACAGGGTAGTGATTCATGACATATTCTTTAGACTCCTACTGCAAAGGTACGCTAGGGGGACTAGTTTGGGTTGTGTGGTGTTTTTTTTCCCCCCATTCAGTGGTGAAAATGCACAGTCTATTGTAATAAGACCTGTAAAATGAAGGGTTTTTGTCTCACCTTGTAGAGCTCCATGATTATAATTGTAAGCTTAGAGGAAAAATCACATGTGTAAACTCAGATGATGAGTTCAGGGAAGAGGGATCTTCTAAGAAAGTCGTTCTGCGCCCTGCTGAATAGAGAGACAGGTTATTAAAGGTTAGTTTACTTACAAGAACAGAACAAGTTAATGAACAAACCACTCCAAACATTCCCACTCTGTTGGAGTTTTTTGTTTGTTTTAAATGGAGAAATGACCAAGGTGGATCGTATATCCCTAGGCTTCTTGAAAACTGCAAACTGCTGGTAAATATTCCAAGTTTTAAATATGAAACTCTTATTGCTTAGGTGTCTTGTGACGACCCTTGATCAACAAGGCTGCAAGTCATGTAGAAGCCGCAGTAACTGCAGAGTCTCTGATGGATAATTGGATTGGTAGGTTGGTTTTGCTTAATTTTTCCCCCCTGCCTTTTAATTGCCTGCTGTGGTAGCAAGTTCCTTTTCCAATCCTGTTGATATTTAATTCTCACTATTTTTTATTTATGTTATGTGTTGCATCTTTCCTGTTCAAAGCACATACCCCTGTCTCAGTTGCTAGTAAGGAAAAATAGCTTGGAGGTATTTGGATGGCAGTGTGTAGCAAGATATATTTATTTATCTGAAATATACATGACAACGTTTTTTTCTTCTCTGTTTAGATGACATGAAAAGATTGTAAGTTTTCTCAAGTCTGGAGAAATAAGTACTGTTTTTTTCTTTGGAGAAGCACTGACAATAGTATTACTGATATGTTGAAATCCCAGGGCCAGCTATTCAATCTACAGGAATTCCAAAGTACGGTACTCGGAAAGCCAAAGTGCAGAGAAGTGGTGAATGACTGCCTGTCCTTTGGCAAATTCAGAGCTGTCAGAGGCTTGATCTGAAATTTCACTGTGTAGGACTTGATATTAGCAGAAGTAGTATTCCTGCTGAATGAGTTATTTTAGAAAACTGGTAAAACTAAGCATCTCCCATGTGCACTTAAATCACTGAAGTGTTCTTAAATATAATGATTTTGAAGGAACAATCCTCCAAACTGTTACTTGTGTGGCTGTTTATTGCTCTAATGTGTGTTTTTTGTTTTTACTTGGAAGAAACTATCATTTGTCAGTAGACCCTTACTGGAATACTCTCCTCTTCCATCCTCTGATTTCTTTTTTTTGTATGTGTGCCTTTATAAGAGCAATCTTAAAAAACCAAATGCACATATACACAAAACCAACAAAACCCAAGTCATTTTTTCTGATGTCTGTAAAGGCTAATATTGAGTAAAAATTATAACCTGACCAGAAAGGCTTTGCACTGTATGTTAAACTTGATCTACATGCAAACTCCTATCAGTGTTCATGGGAGTGCTAGTCTAAATCCAGAGCAGCTTTGGTTTGACATTTCATCACCTGCATTAGAATAATTAAAAAACTGCATTTTTAAAGGCATAAGATTTCTGGTGTATCTATTTTTCTTGTAAACTATGTGTGCTGATGACATTAAGGTAAAGACTTGCGTGATAATAGGGCATAATGACCAATGCAAGTTTACAGTTGGTTAATCATCATGAGTTTGTCTTCATTTCCTCCAGAGCTAGGTATATTTGTTAATTGCCTAATTCTGTGGCTAAAGAACTTTCTGAAAAGAAGCTTTGTGTAAGGAAACATACACACAAGCACATGCACTATTTTTGCTCAGTTAGTTGTCTGGGTTTGAATCATCTTTGGAGTGAATATTAGCTTTAAGAGACAACTATTGTTTGTTACCCCACACTTGGCATAATTTAAGAGCTGGAGAGTGAGAACTACTATCAGGGAAGGTAGTTTTCCTTTTTTATTTTTCTCCCCTTCCTTGTGGTATGCACATCTGAAGATAAATGTTAACAAATGGGCTTTGTACCTTGTAGTGATTCACGACTCTCTGTTGTCATTTTACTAAGTATTTAAGGTCTGTCCTGTGTCTTGTCAAAGCTTGTTCAATGCATGGCTGTAGAAGGGGAGTAGCAGATAAGAAATTCTATTTCAAATGGAAGTTGGTGGCTCCAAAATCGAGGAGAAAATTGCTAGAAAGGATTATACTGGCCTTGGCACTGACTTTTAAGCAAAACTACCAAGCCTGGAATCCTTGTTTAAGAGCCATGTGTGTGAGAATTAGAAGCAAAGTGTGTAGAATAGTTCCATTACCTGTTTCAGTTTGCAGATCAGAGCAGGGCTGATCTTACAATGCTTGCAGTGGTATCCACATCACTGTTCTTTCTCGGATGTAACTACTATTTCCCCAATAATGGAGTTAACTGGATAGAAGCTGTATTTAAAATTGACAAGAAGAACATCAGAAATGTCTATCCAATGTATAACAAAAAGCTAGATCTAATCGCATAAGCCTGATAATGGAGGAAGCTGGAAATCTCGGACATTGCAGGCAGAATGCAGTCTTCCTGGCTAACTTCCGCATGAGATAGGTATGCCTGAAAATAATAAACAGATTGCTTTTTAAGAATAGACTTCCCTGTGCTTACTCCTCTGATCTCTTGACCAGTGCTATGAGGAGATAGAGTGCTTGTGGCATCTACTCTTCACCCATGCATTTTTGAGTACTGATGAGTCTTTTTTTTGTTACTCCACATCCATACCAGTTTTCTGTCCTCAGGGAATAGTTGCACATATTGACCCAGACCCTATGCATGTTGCCTGAGGGGCAGCCAGTCAAGGGTTGCATCATTTAACACTGGCTGGTGTTACTGTTTTACCAGATATCTGTGAAAATGATGGAAACTCATAACAATTTTTGATTGTTGTTTAGCAAAGCTGGAAGTAGCAGTACTAACACCAGAACCATTGCTTTCTTAAATCAGAAGGACAACACCTATATCGGTTTAAACCTGCTTTTACATTCTGACACTGACACACTTTTACAAGAAAACTTCTATTCAGAAAAAAAACTTTAAGCACCCCCGTGCTGCTTCTTCCAACAGAAATTTTCTGCTGCTTTAAACTTCACGGAAGTTGAGTTTTGCTTTGAGGTGCAACTTTAAGTAGTCCCTCTAAAGTTTATCCCAGAATATATAATAATGTTTACATGCAAAATGCCATCATTTCAGTTGTATCATTAGCTTTTGGGTTTTATTTCCTGACAGGCATTTGACTGCTGAGATATAGGACTAGGAGAAAACTGTGTTATTGAGCAGTCTTCATTTAAATATGGAGAAGAATGAAGGGTTTTGATTTGAGGTGGAAGTAGAAGAGAGAAACGGCAGGAAAGTGCAAGAATTGTGGATTTTGATTTAATACTTTTTTTTTTTTTTAATATGAAAGTCTTTGTTTTCCTACAATTTCCAGATGGACTTTTATACCTGTTTAGGGATTTCAGAATTAATTTGTCTATTTGGAGAAAAGAATGTTTCTCATCCTGGAATATAAAGTGCTATTGAATGGTGAAATGGTGGGAGCAAGGAGAATTGTGAAATTAGATGTGAATTCAAGTGAATTGTTGAAACTAGATGAAGTTTCCAGCTAATAGTCAGGCTTCTCAACCCAAGTCCTTCCTTCACCTTCCTCTCTCTGATTCCCCTGCTGTGCCCCTGAACCTCAGTCGCCTTGGTGATTGTTTTCTGTGCCGTCTTCAGTTAATGTTACTGCTAATCAATACTGCCAATGGAATTTTATGTTCAGAAATTACTGGACTTCAATATATGAATCTGCTTAATCTAATATTTTTCAGAATGAAGTTATGAGAAAGGGGTATGCCACTGGATAGAAATAAGAGATTAAAACCAATCATTCTAGCATTATTAAATCTCCAAATATATATTCTTTAGATCATGTTGTTCTTAAGGATATTAGCTTTCATTGTTTTCTAACAGAAGGGACTCATAGCATTCTTGTTTTTTTGTAGAGCATGAACAGACATTAACTCTGAGGCTGTGCAAGCAGCAGTTATTTTCTGTAGTTTCATCTTTTTTCAATTCTAGGACTGGTTCTAGAACTTGGCTCAGATTTAAACAGGGAGGTTATCATTCATGTAAGATAAGTCTTCTAAGGTAATATATTGGTTGGTGTACCTGAAAATTCTTACGTAAGACAAAGATGGTTCCTACCCTTTTAAAAGGGTAAAATTGTCTGTATTTTTTAATTTTTCAGTGTGTACCATACAACTAGATGCTGTTTTATCAAAGTAGAGAATTGGAGCATTTAAGAATGAGGTCCTTGTAAAGGTGGATGTTTTCTATTGTTATTTTTCAAATACTTTGTATTATTTTCTTGATCTTTCAGATCTCTTTAACATCAACAGCATTTACAAGAAATTTCTTTAGTGACTCTTCCAAGTTAGATGTCAACAGGTTGATGATTTGCTCTGCATAGTGGCAGAGCTACAGGAAGAGGTGGAATGGCTAAGGAGCATAGGGGTATCTGAGAAGATTGACTGGTGGACCCACACTTTACCATCCCTGACAGAAGCAAGCTAGCCACCTGAAACAAAAGAAATGAAGGATCCTCTTACTCTCTAGCCACCAGGCAGATGGAGGAGACCTAGGAGACAGGAGAGGTTGGAAGCAGGTTACTCCTCGATGTAGACGGTGTATTACTCCCCAGCTTATGTCACCTTCCCAATACCCCTCTACAACAGGTTTGAGGCCTCGATACTTGAGGATTAGGAAGATGAGGAAGATGAGGAATTAGATTTGAGGAGGGACACAAGGATCATAAGGGGGCTCGGGCACCTCCCGTATGAAGACGGGCTGATAAGGTTTGGGCTGTCCAGCCTGGAGAAGAGAAGGCTGCGTGAAGACCTATAGCACCTTTCCAGTATCTGAAGGGGGCTTGCAAGGACGCTGGGGAGGGACTCTTCATTAGGGACTGTAGTTCCTACAGGACAGGACAAAGGGTAACAGGTTCAAACTTAAATAGGGGAAGTTTAGATTGGATATAAGGAGGAAGTTCTTTACTATGGAGGTGGTGAGGTGCTGGAATGGGTTGCCCAAGGAAGTTGTGAATGCTCCATCCCTGGCAGTGTTCAAGGCCAGGTTGGACAGAGCCTTAGGTGATATGGTTTAGTGTGAGGTGTCCCTGCCCATGGCAGGGGGATTGGAACTTGATGATCTTAAAGTCCTTTCCAACCCAAACCATTCTGTAACCCTAGACAAGGGATCATCCAGGTTAGAAGGGTCTGCACAGAAGAGTCAGAGAATGCCTTGTATCATGACCAACTCTACTAGGAAAAAGTAGGGTGGTTGTGATTGGAGAGTCCATGCTAATGGGAGCAGAGGGCCCCGTATGTCCACCTGTCCCAACTCACAGGGAAGTCTGCTCCCTCCCTGGGGCCAGCATAAGGGATGTTACTGGAAAATTCTCTTGTCTGGTATGCCCAGTGACTATTATTCTTTACTAGTCTTCCAGGTGGTGAATGAG